AGGCAGAAGTCTCCAAACTCATCCTTTCTAATCATCCTACTACTTGTCCGCTTGATCCTATTCCATCTCATCTCTTTCAAGCCATTTCTCCTGTAGTTGTACCTGCACTCACTCACATCATTAACATATCCCTTCACACTGGTGTTTTACCCTCAACATTTAGACAGGCTCGTATAACCCCACTACTTAAGAAACCTACCCTTAACCCATCTCTTTTAGAGAACTACAATTTTTACTCCCTCTAACTCTAGCACTCTGTATTCTAATTCTATTCTTAAAAAAAAAAAAAAAACACTTGTCCCTTTTAGACTAAAAAACTAACACTTGCTTTAGACTGGCAAGAGCGGATTCCAAATCTTCAATGCTTATCTTGCTGGATCTGTCCGGTGCTTTTGACACTGTTAACCACCAGATCCTCCTATCAACCTTATTGGCAAATGGCATCTCAGAAACCGCACTCCAGTGGTTTGAGTCTTACCTATCAGATAGGTCCTTTTATTTATTATTTAAAAAAAAACCTTGCTACGTGTACTGCATTAAGCTAACTGAGACTTGTTATAGCACTTGTTGCTTCCATTGTCCTCATTTGTAAGTCGCTTTGGATAAAAGTGTCTGCTAAATGACTAAATGTAAATATAATGAGCAGTATCACACGAGGAGCCATGCGATACAGCTGTATATCAGCATAGCTTTGATTTAGCTGTAGGTACGAGGTTGCACAAGTGTGTAAATAAAAAAAGAGACAACAACCGAGAGTCTTTAAAAACCCTCTTTTGTGCAGAACTACTTCCTTCAAACCTAAGTTTGACAGTTTAACAGCTGAGCTCAAGCCTCCATTACTAATTTCAAAACATCACTTTAGAACCTAAAGTGCATCTGATACCAGCATTCATTCCTCAGGTCAATCTTATATTTATTATAGGCGATAATCAGTTTGAATGTCCACTGAGGAAGGCGATATCTTTGTCTTTGTCCAATTAAGGGGATTTCCCATGATTTCGCAAGTCAATGCATTTGTCGGTTGCGTCCCTATGGTTGCATCTTATAAGGCTGTTTAAAGTAGTAATAACGTCCTTGTTTCAGGCTGTGTGGGAGAGTGTGGATATTTTATGATACCGCTGTGGTCGATTATTTGCGTTTTTTAAAGAAGTAAAGTAGAATGAAGTGTTTGTGAGAAAGAGTGAAAATGAGGGTGAGAGCACTTTTACAAAATTTGTAACTTTCATGGCCTCTTAAACTTTAGTTAATTACACTGTAATTACAAAGTATTGATCCCTTTATTTATTTATTTTTTATTTTGCACATTTTATGTTGCAACCGTATGCTAAAATGCTTTAAATACATTTTTTTTTCATCAGTCTACACTTACACCCCATAATGGTGAAGATTCATTGTTTTGTCATTGTCCTTGTTGGAAGGTGAACCTTTGGCAGAGTATGAGGTCCTGAGTGCTTTGGACCAGGTTTTCATTAAGGATATCTCTGTATTTTCTGGTGTCCAACTTTACTTCTACCCTGACCAGTGCCCTAGTCGCTGCCATTGAAAATGGTCCCGTGGTCAGGTCAAGTCAAGTCAAGTCACCTTTATTTGTATAGTGCTTTATACAATACAGATCGTGTCAAAGCAGCTATACAGTGTCAAACAGGAAAATAGTTAACAATAACAGAGTAATTTTTCCAGCTAAAGTCAGTTCAATGATGATTCAGTGATGTCATCATCCAGTTCAGCTCTCTTCCAATAGTGTCTGTGCAATCAGCCAAAGGCGTCAGTGGCAAGGAACCAAAACTCCATCGGTGACAGAAATGGAGAAAAAAAACCTTGGGAGAAACCAGGCTCAGTCGGGGGCCAGTTCTCCTCTGGCCAGACGAAACCAGCATGACGTGGATGCCAGGTTAAAGAGATGGGTCTTTAATCTAGATTTTAACTGACAGAGTGTGTCTGCCTCCTGAACAACGCTAGGTAGATTGTTCCAGAGTTTGGGCACTAAATAGAAAATAGGAATATGAAAAGCCGCCCGTTGATTTTGATATTATTATTATTAAATGGCCAGAGTTTTGAGATCGCAGCGGATGTGAAGGACTATAATGTGATATGAGCTTGCTCAAGTACTGAGGAGCTAAACCATTCAGGGCTTTATAAATAATTAGCAAGACTTTAAAATGTATTCACTGTTCAATAGGCAGCCAGTGCAGTGTTGACAGAACCAGGCTAATATGGTCTTACTTCCTGGTTTTAGTAAGAACTCTAGCTGCTGCATTTTGGACCAGCTGGAGTTTGTTTATTAAGCGTGCAGAACAACCACCCAATAAAGCGTTACAATAATATAACCTTGAGGTCATGAATGCATGAATTAACATTTCTGCATTTGACATTGAGAGCATAGGTCGTAATTTATATATATTTTTAAGATGGAAAAATGTGGTTTTGCAAATGCTAGAAACATGGTTTTCGAAGGAAAGATTGCTATCAAATATCACACCTAGGTTTCTAACTGATGACGAAGAATTAACAGAGCAGCCATCAAGTGTTAGACAGTGTTTTAGGTTATTACATGCAGAGGTTTTTGTTCCCTTAATTAACACCTCTGTTTTTTTTTTTGTTTGTTTTTTTCAGATTTTAGCAGTAGGAAATAACTAGTCACCCAGTTTTTTATTAACTATGCATTCTGTTTGTTTTGCGAATTTGTATGTTTCATCGGGCCACGAAGAAATATAGAGCTGAGTATCATCAGCATAACAGTGAAAGCTAACACCATGTTTCTTGATGATATCTCCCAAGGGTAACATGTAAAGTGTGAAA